GAACACCACTAGCCGTCACCTTCAGCCCCCAACTAAAACCTCTCCAGCACATAATCAAAGATCTACAACCTATCCTGAAAGATGATCCCTCACTCTCACAGATCTTGGGAGACAAACCACTCCTCACTTACAGACAGCCCCCCAACCTGAAGCAAATACTCACCAGCAACCACACACCACGCAACACAACAAAAACACTGACCCAGGAACCTATCCTTGCAACAAAGCCCAATGCCAACTCTGTCCACATATTTATTCAAATTACACCATCATAGGACCTAATCAGATTAGCCACATCATCAGGGGCTCGTTCACCTGCACATCTACCAATGTGATATGTGCCATCATGTGCCAGCAATGCCCTTCTGCCATGTACATTGGCCAAACCGGACAGTCTCTACACAAAAGACTAAATGAATACAAATCTGACATCAGGAATCATAACATTCAAAAACCTGTAGGAGAACACTTCAACCTCTCTGGTCACTCAGTAACAGACTTAAAGGTGGCAATTTTGCAACAGAAAAGCTTCAAAAACAGACTCCAACGAGAAACTGCTGAGTTTTAATTAATATGCAAACTAGATACCATTAACTTGGGTTTGAATAGAGACTTGGAGTGGCTGGGTCATTACACATATTGAATCTATTTCCCCATGTTAAGTATCCTCACTCCTTCTTGTCAACTGTCTAAAATGGGCCATCTTGATTATCACTACAAAAGTTTTTTTTCCATCTGCTAATAATACCTCATCTTAATTAATAAGCCTCTTACAATTGTTATGGCTACTTCCACCTTTTCATATTATCTGTATGTATATATATTTCTTACTATATGTTCCATTCTATGCATCTGGTGAAATGGGCTGTAGCCCACGAAAGCTTATGCTCAAATAAATGTGTTAGTCTCTAAGGTGCCACAAGTACTCATGTTCTTTTTGGGGATGCAGACTAACACAGCTGCTACTCTGAAACCCATGATTTAGGCAATGGTTGTTATCTTTGTATCCTGTAAGATTTTACAGGTGTGCAGGGTGAGGCTAATAACACCTCTTTCTCTAGAGGGAATTATAAGAGTGCAAACATTTAAAATGGAATATTTTGAAAAAGTGTATTTCCCTCCATGCTTACATAATTTATAAAACAACTGAGCTGACTCTGATCAAATTAAAAACAAAATCTTTGGGCTGAGATCAAGCATGAACTATTTCAGGCACAGCCCAAAAGGATTGTATTTAAAGAACCTTTGAGCAACTGAAAAAAAGAACATCAGAAAGGAAACTCCATCAAATACTATAACCCCACTTAATCTATTTTCCTTTTTTGCCTATTAAATACCAGCCACATTTTTCATCTTTCCCAAACTACTGTAACAACTCCCTAACTGTAGCAATTACCTGTGTCAGTTCAAAGAACAGGTGGGAATTACAGACAAGGCTTTTGTGTCAAGATGTACGTCTGTTTTTGGTTGAAGAAAGGGATCAAGGTTGGTAACTGAGATGCCAGCCTTGGAAGAGAAAGGGGAAATGATGTTGGTCCCTCTGAAATGCTGAGAAATTATTAAAATTTCTGCATTTAAAAAAAGCAAAAATAATTGAATGCAAGTGGGGGGAAAAAACTCCTGGGTGGGTGGGGAAGGCACTACTTAGCCTGCCAGGTGCCAAGCTGTATGGCCACAGGGAGGAGGAACTGCTTACCTTGGGGAAGTGGGAGATTATTCTGTCCCTACTCACTGGAGGAATCAAATGCATTAGGCTGGACTTCATTGTCCAAATCCAGTCTGTCTCAATTAGACCTGAAACTTGTAAAGGAGACAGACAAAGATCATGAATCATCTCAGCAGACCCCAAACGTGAATGAAAAAAGGAAATGACCATTCTTTATGGATACTGCATCTTTGTTTTCCTGGTACAAAACCAGGCAGATGGCAGCCCACTGCTTGTAGATCTTTGATTTCACTTGGTAATAAATGCCCCATTTCTTAGCTAAAAGGAACTCTTTCATTATGTTGCTGTAACAGCAACGAGTGGCTTTCTGAGGTTACAATGCAGCCAAGTCTCATTTCAGTAAGATGGAAGAGACTCCTTCACGCAGGGATTAATTTTACAGACAAGTGTTTATAGTTTCTCCATCTGATAAATAATTTTGTAACATGTCTCAACACAACATTTAAAAGTCTCTCATATTGTTATTTGAAATCTCCCTCATGCCCCTTCCCAATGCATGTTGCATTATAAATCCTACATGACATCTCATTTCATCCAATTGGTTGGAGGCGGAAGGATGATAAAGTTGCCACTTTTCCTGATATTGAACAAAACTGTCTTCCAAAAGCAACTCAGACAGAATTAAGTCAATACACAACGTGACTTGGAAGAAGGGTAATGTTCATATGAATCATGCATTATATTAAGAAATCCCAGTTACCCCAACTACCTACACAATGCAGCTTTGAGGGATGTGTCCTTTATTAGAGTAATTATCTGCTACCAGCACTTACAATAAAGACATTTCCAATAAGAAAACTGATCATGTAGCAAGTAGGACTCACCATGTAGCAGCTGATGCAGCAGGTTCTCAGCTACTCCGGCAGCTCCGCATGCTACTGTGTGACCATAGCAACTGTTTGAAACATTCCACCCCCCCAACCACATCTGAAGGCGGAGCTGGAATAGAGAGTAACTAACTACATGAGAATACTGCAGATCTCTCTAACATGGAGCAGTTTTAAAGGGCTGAACTGGTTACTTATGGATGTGGGTAGTCAGATGCTATTGGTTAGTAAGCACGATGGACCTTTGATTCTCCATTAAGGAAATAGTGCCACTGAATTCAGCGGGTGGTGGGCCTGAGTAAGGTCTTGCAGGATCAGCCCCTTAGATAAGGGCCTGGAGGACTGGGAAATTAGCAAAAAAGTAATATTAAGATACTAATGATGGAACCCCTGAGAGAATGTGGTGAAACCCAGGAGGAATTTTCAGAATTTCAGCTAAATGGACTTCAGCTCAACTTCAGAATCAGGGTGCACAGTTCACCAGCACACTGTTTTAAAGAGTCCTTTATACAAAGAATTGTTTGTTCTATCAAGTCTTTAAGTGATCTCTCCTCCTAACATCCTGGGAATAAGAGACGGGCCTTGAGGAATCAAATGCAGATCTGCATGGTAGGAGCACTCCCCTACCTATTAATTAGTACACAATGCATACCAACCTTCCCTCTATTCCAGGTTTATGGATTAATTGTAATCTTATATAACAAAGGATTTCGCCATCTGTTTCAATAAGATTTAAAAATTGTGAATAAAAGAAACCTCTCACATTCTATTGGTCAGTCCTGGAGTCCAGCCTGGCAGTCGTGGAGCAAAGGGGCAATCCCACTTGGATCAGTACCTTACAAGACAATACATGAATGTACAATGAAAAATTAAGAAACGACAATGATTTGTTCAGATTACACACAATGAATATTACACAGCTGAAATTCCTAATCTGCTACCTAGAATCAGTGCTTTGTTCTCTATTGTGTGCAGTTACTTTTAAATATTTTTAGTCATTCATGTGAACATAAGCATATTGCAAAAACAAACAAGAGACCAGGGTTTGCTATCAATAGATCATCCAGAGAAGCTGGAATGTTATCAATTCTACAGCCCCTGGACTAAATCCAGCTTGTTTTACTCATGTGAATGGTCCTAGGGAAGTAAATTAGCCTATCTATGTGTGCACAAGGTGAGATCAATTTACCAAGGGTCATGGGGGATTCTCCCTCACTGGCAATTTTTAAATCAAGACTGGTTGTTTTTCCAAAAGATCTATTCTAGGAATTATTTTGGGGAAGTTCTATGGCCTGTGTTATACAGGAGGGTCACACTACCTGATCACAATGGTCCCTTCTAGCCTTGGAATCTATAAAGGATTTGGACCTTTACATATAAGACGCCTTTGTGGCTAATGGGGATCAATTTTAGCCAGTTTTCACATTTTAAATTAATAATTTTAAATCAGAACAAAAACCTTAATGCCTGGGTGACAGTCTCACCATATGAGCTGCTTCCTTAACCTCCCTCTATTCTGTTCTAGAACATCCTAATCACACAATTGCCCTGTGTACACAGGCTGAGTCACTGCTTGTCTCCTAGAGTCCTTTCACAAAACTATAAAAATCAATACCACTCTCAATGAATCCAAAGTGCAATAGAGACCAAGGTAACCAATTTAAATAACCTGGTTGTCTTGGTTAGTAACCAGTATATTTACTTTTCTCATGCTTCAGTCCCATTCTCCCAGCAAGTAAATCAATAAACTGTACTGTACAATGAGGGAGCATGGATAATGATTTAAGAAATACAAAGCTGTCAAAAACCACTAAGGAAAATAAGAAAACTTTAAAGCTGGCTATGACCAGAGGTCTGTATTAAGGCCCAGATCATTCCCTCTGCCTACAGGGTTGGAGGGGACCTGGTCATAGAGAAAGAAAAGGGACATGTTGCCTTCATTGCATCATCCCCCATTTCCATCAGTGCTATAGAAACATCTTTATCAGTATTCTATGTAAAACAGACTATGAATGGAGAGGGAATTTGGGTCTGGCAGGCCAGCTATTCTCCATCTTTCTCTCCAACATCCTTCAGAAAATTAGAATAAATTAATGCTGCCCCTGTTACTCCTGAAGGAGTTTTTCAAAGCTAATGGCCTCTGGAGAAGCCCATGGTTCCTGCCAAAGGACCAAGGAGGTAGGAGAGAAGGCAGAGTGGAGGCACAGGTCCTTTGTAAGGATGGCCTGGTTTCCTGTGGATATTGGGAGGTCTGCAGGTTATTCATGACACCCTCCTCCCATTCTGCAAATGGAAGAGCCCACATCCCAGTGGAAGTAGGAGGAAACTCCACAAGTGCACACTCAATGAGTTTCTAACCCACAACATGGGCCTAGCTGGTTTACTGGACAATTTGCTCCCAAATTCTGAGATTAAGAAAATAAGTATGTTTTCTTGAAGACCATTTTAACAGTAACAAAGTTTGCCACTGTGGTTTTCAATGACAGACAAGCCAGCATCTATTCCTTTGTCTGATGTTAATCCTACTAATCTGACTGACCCATACCGTTGTCTTTGTAAAATCCTGTCTAAGAACTCTGATTATTATAGCTGTTGCACAAACATAATGAAAATTAGCTCATGGGTATGAATATTTAACTGCTTTGTGAAGAGTGGGGAAGTAACCATTTTTGTAGCACAAGCTGCACAAACAGTTGATTTTCCCTGATGCCAGAACATGTCACGGTTGCCTGAGTGAGAACCCAAAGCACCCTGAGACTGAGGTAATCAGCATTGCAGTGACATATGCTTCCTGCCTACCAAGGTATCAAATTTTAAACTTCCACATAATCCTATGCCATAAACATTAATGGGCTGGTACTGAAAAACAGAGGCAAGTCTTGAGGCCACTTATGTGTATGTGTAAAGGTCTACCAAGTGGAAACAATGCACAGAGGAAATAATCCAGATGTCATATCTGTGGTGGGTCTCTGGAAAGTAATGTGGAGGAAGAAATGTGGGCATGGCCCAGAAATGAGGGTATGAGTAGATCTATGCATAAAGTAAAGACATACGGCCAAAACCCTGCATAGGTGAAGAACAGCAGCCAAAGCAGTGTATGTCTAATGGAAAGCATAATTTTATATTTACTTTCAATTGTTTAAAAATGTTTTTGTTTTTATATCAACCTTATTATAGAGAGATTAACTAGCATTCCCACATAATTGTGCCCTTTTCAGTCTCTAATTTATAGGCTCCAACTCTCAGCTATTTTAAAACAGTAGTTGGATCTTTTTCAAGCATTTGGCTCCACCAAAGTTTTTTTCTGAGCTATGTGTTTTATTTCTGTGACATACGATAAAATGTGTCAGGAGGGATGTTGACAAACCAGTGCATCAAAATAATGGTTACTACATATCTTAGGTTTGCCCAGCATCACATGGTGTGGTTTTCATAAGGCCCCAAGGCCACTAATACAGCCATTTCACACCTTCAGGGATTCAAAGTCCCCTAGAATCATAAGTTTGATGTGAAATACTAAGATTTTTTTCCCTTTTTTTAATATGCCTGAAATTTCCTCCTCTCTTAAAAGGCTGCATGCTGAGAAACCATTTCACTAATTGTTTTAGGTGCAAAAGCTTTAACATAATTAAATAAATTAAACATATACTTTTCAACTAAAAGGCAAGAGACCCTATTCTGCTCCAATTGAAGTCAATAGCAAAGCTATCATTAATTTAAATGGGAGAAGAAGGAGCAGGTCGTAAATCTTACTTACTATTCATAAGAGGTGTCCCGTTGATTTCAATGGAACTACCTGTAGAAGGAAGGTAAACACAGGACTGTGCCATCTCTATGAAGCATGGGGATTTAGTATGATGTATGCACTGTTTGTTAAATCAAATAATCTTACACAAGTTCTTCTGTTATGCATATTTGATCTGAGACAATATCCACTTTTACTTCTTCACATACAGAGGGATTAAAATGTCTTCAACCAACTGCTGAGCCTTCCTTTGTATTGTTCTTTTTATTAGGAAATCACAGAATATTGAGCTTGTTTGTGCCTTTGTGATACTAATTTTAATGCAGATCTGTCCTTTCACCCTGTAAGAGTAGAACTCTAAATCAAATAACATGAACCAGGCTAGATACTCTTATTTTGGCTTTCTTGAACCAATAACATTTAACAATTAGATTGTTGTTTTCATGTTCAAGGCACTTCACACAAAAAATACCTATCTACTGTAATCAGTTCTGTGAGGTAGGCAAATATTAATCCACTTTACAAATGGAGAAACTGAGACAGCAGCTAAATGACTTTCCAAGGCTAGAGAAAGAATTAGAGGCAGAGCTAAGATTAGGATTCAGGAGTGCCTGTTGCCCAGTCCCATTATCAAATTACTAAACAATGCCTTTCTCTTGGTCAATATTAGAATAATTTTAAATATTTTGTTTTCTACAGAAATAATAGTCTGCAAATGGGTCCATTAAAAAGTGTTGCCTTATTATAAACCAAGGTTTTTTAATATAGTTTGGTCTTTAGCATTCTGGCATATTTTCCCCAAAATAATAACAGTATTCTGCATTTAAATATATCACCTTTCATTTGAGGACCTCAAAGCACTTTATAAAGTTGATTATTATTATCCTAATTTTGCAGACTGGGAAATTGAATCAAGGAGAAGTTAACTGATCTGCCCAAAGTCATGCAGCAAGCGAGTGGCAGCCACTCCAGAAATATAACCAACAGTTTGTACAGTTCTTTAAGCCTGCAGGAGACACTTGGATAATAGTCGTGCTGCATATATGGTCAGAAAACAGGGATCTGCATATCACACAGCTATTGAGAAGTAATCTTACTGTAATTATGGAAACCTGAACTCCTCAGCTAGAGTGCAGAAAGAGGCATAAAAGAGACATAAGCATACAGTTATATGTCAGTCACTGTGCAATATCCCTGCATTCTGACTGTCTGAAATCATTCAAGTTCAATATTACTACCTATAAATAATAGATACAGGAAAATAATGCACCTCCTTCTTTTTATGACCAGCCTAAACAACATTATTTTGTATTGGCCTCCCCAAACCTCCTTCTTCTCTCCTCCCATCCTTGGGCCTGATTCTTGAATCTTTATACAGGCTACGCTCCCATTTCACTCAGAGTGAACCCTGGTGCTGGCTTTTCTCCACCAATGATTTAATTGTATCGTCATAAACATTGGGATACTGTGTACATCTGCCCCTGGATGGATAGATAGAAGGCCAAATTCTGGCCTCAGTTACACCCCATGCAGCCCCAGCGATGTCAGTGGGATGCAGGGAGTATAACTGTGGGCAGGATTTGGCCCAGGGACCCTGGACAGGGTGTGTAAAGGGAGTGACCAGCAGACCAACAATCCTAGTCGAGGGCCTCTCCGTGGCTCTCATTTGACGAAGGCAGATTTCAAACACTGATAAGGGAGGGTTTAAATGAGCCACGCAAAAGCGTACAGGTGCCCCCCCCCCGGAGATAGTTAACAATGCCCCCCACCCCAATGGGGCAGGTTGTGGGGCGTCTCCCCTTTCCCCAGAGGGAGATTTATAAACACGCTCCTCAGCGGGGCTCACACCCTCCCCGCATCGGGGATTGTCAGCGGAGCCCCCATTATCCGGCCCTAAGAAGGGGGGGCTCACCCCTCCTAAGAGTCTCTCTCTTCCCGTCCATCCAGTAGGGACATCGCCTCCCCAGCTCGATAGTTCGGTCACTTCTCTCCTCAGTGCCCTTCCCAACGCTAATAACGGCCCCAGCTTCCTATTCACCAACTACGTCACTGGCGCTGGCCCTGCTTAGCAACAAGCGGAGAATGCCTTAGCTGCGCTGTTTGCGCAGGCCGGTAGCCTGCAGTGGCAGGCCCCGCAGTTACCTATTCACAGAACCCGGCGCACACATAGAGCGTCTCCGCTGCTTAGCAACCAGCGCCGGCCCGGGCCCTAGCAATTGTGAGCGGGCCCAGGCGAGGCGCAGGGGACCGAGGAGCGGGGCCCGGCGGGGGATGCCCACTTGGCTCCGTTCGGGTTGGGATTTTTTAAAACAGGACAAACCCTTACGAGTTGTTGTTTTGAAACCTCAGACCGAACAAACGGCGTCAGGGGGTTCCCTGAAAACGACCCCGCCCCCGTAGTTCGCTCAGAGGAGCCGTTTTCAACGTTTCTGGGGGGCGGGAAGAAGCCCCCTCCCCCAGCTACCCCACTGTAAACCGGCCCCAGTGGGAGTCTTGCTTCCGTTTTTTGGCTTCACAACAGTCAGAACCAAACCGTCCCGCCGAGACAGCGCAGCAGAATTCGACAGAGACAGAAATAAACTGGGGGGGCCGCGTCCCTCCCTCCTCCCATCCTCTGTCCTACGCTCGTCATAGTTTGACTCCTTGCCAGAGAAGCTCTGCTGGGGGCTCAGTGCGTCTTGAAAGCAGGAGTTCCTGCTTCCTGGGGTACTTTAGCCACCCCCTCTGGGAAAGTGATTTTTGGGGTGTCTAGCGAACAGAGGGACTCCATCCCATAGTACCTAGGGATGGCACATGCTCGTATCTCAGCCAAACTGCCCCCCAACATTGACCCCACTAAAGCCCCCATTGCTTTTGGGGCAAGGGCCCTACCTAAGCTGAATGAGGAGTTACAGTCCCCTGAGCTGCTGACCCGGCAGAGAGCATTGATGGCCCTATGTGACTTAGTGCATGACCCAGAGAATGTCTACCAAGCAATAAAACTAGGTAAGTGATCTCTGCTGCCACAGATTTCCAGAATACGGGGCTCTGGGAAAGGGGAAAAGGGGTTTTGTTTGTTTCTTTAGGATGTACAAAAGCCCTGTAAAGGTTTTCATTTTATTCGTGCTTGTTTTTTACCTCAGAAATACAAGGAACATCATGCTTCACATTCCGTGGTTTAGCAAATGTTTTTAAAAAGTTGTAAATAGTCCAAGAGAAAAAGACTTTCCCTATTCATTAGTTAGATTTTATGTGCATGGGATCGCTGCTTAACTTTCTTCCTACATTGTGTCTGAGGGTGGAACTGTTCTCAGAGTCCCTGAGCAGCCAGGCTGTTCTGCGCAGTTGGACACTTACGCCCATGTGTAAATCTACTGACTTCATGGGGGCTTTGCACAGGCATAAGAGTCCACTCATGGAAAACCACCCGCATGGATCAGATAGTGCTGACATTTACAGCCATGTGGAGTCCTGTTGACCTCATTGGCATTCTGCACAGGTGTAATGGTCCAAACCATCAGTTCACATTGCAGGATCAGGGTCTATGCTCTGATGAACCTTTAAATAATATAGAATAAAATATTTGTCAGGCTTACAAAACTATGAATATTATAACAGTCATCTGCATTGTATCTTATCACCTCTGTTTTCCCAAGATTTGGATCAATATTTTCCCCTGGTGTGGGCAGGTTAAATGATCTCCTACTGCAAACGGTCATTAAAAAACCCCAACTCAGCTCTGGCACAGCTCCATTGAATTCAGTCTCGTATGCATTTTTTTTGGCACTCTGGGTGCTGCATACCTATAGCTAGTTTAACTTAAACTAAAGAAGGAATTTGCTTCAGCTCTGCCACCATTCTAATCTCCATTTGTAGAATCCTAGATTATTAGGGTTGGAAGGGACCTCAGGAGGTCATCTAATCTACCCCCCTGCTCAAAGCAGAACCAATCCCCAACTAAATCCCCAAATGGCCCCTTCAAGGATTGAACTCACAACGCTGGATTTAGCAGGCTAATGCTCAAACCACTGAGCTATCCCTCCCCCATTGCTAGCCTTGAAGTCCTTCCTTTGGTGATATTTCCTCTACCCAGGAATACTGGTCATCCTATTTGGAACCTGTCAAGTTATTTTTTAATCTGAACTACAGTTGCAAAGGTAATAATATAAGACTCATACTCTGCCCTTGCTATCAGGTGTACTGCCTGTCCTCCACCCCCAGCTAATAATAGCCTAGTAAATGTATGGCCAAGTAAGGAAATCAAGTTCATTTCTTCTTCATATAACCTCTGCTTGGGGCTACCCTTGAAAAAAGTCCAAATAGTTTAGGCTCCAATCCTGCAAACTTATATGTTCTTAGTTTTAGTCACAAGTAGCTCCATTGACTTTAGTGCAGTGTTTCTCAAACTAGGGGTCCCGAGAGTACAACTGCTGGTTAGGCAGCTATCTCTGAAGGCTGCGCCACTGCTTGCAGCAGTAATGGTGGAATCATGGGCAGTGTGTGAACTGCCTGCTAATCCCCAGCCCCACCCTGCCCCTTCTACACCCCCCCGTGGCTGCCGGCTCCAGAGCGCTGGGCGACACGGCTCCAGCCCCAGGCAGCATGGCCCTAACCCCATAGTTCCAGGAGGATGGATGGCACAGCCCCAGCCCCAGCCCCGGGGCCACCGCACAGGGGGAGCTGTGGAGCGTGGGCCTGGCTGTTTGGAGAGGCCCAGCCTATGATACCTGCTGCCCATCAGTGGAATGGTAGTGTGGAGGGTGCGGGGTTTGGTCATCACAGCCTGAAATATTTTCAAAGGAGGTCCAGCAAAAAAAATTGAGAACTTGAGCCCCTGCCTTAGTGGGGCTACTTGCAAGCGTAGAGTTAAGCAAATGCATAAGTATTGCAGGATTAGGACCTTAGCTAGTACAGAACACAACAGCCTAATTGCTTATGGCCTGATCCAGTGCCCACTGAAGTTAACAAAAGTCTTTCCATTGTCTTCACTGGGTTTTGAATCGTGCCCTTGGTGATGCTAGCTGTGTTAAGCATATTACAGCTGTAACTCATACACTACAGTTGTGAAATTTCAATACTGGGAGATTCATGGCATGGCATTTTTGGTGGTAAGTCTTCAACTCTGGAAGTCACTTTCTTTCTTGATGTGTCAGTGCCAGAGTTTGACCCAATCATTGCTATTTTAATAATTAAAGAAATGTTAAAAAAATTAATCTATTCTGTCTCTTAGGATTCCTGGATAACCTGAAATATTTGCTTCTAGACCAAGATAGCACTGTTCGAGAAAAAACAACTGAAGTCCTTTATATAATGGCTACTCATAATGTTGGCAGGCAAGTATATTCACCAGAGTTTACTGGATGATACTGGGAAGTGGAGATGGTAGCTCAAGTTTCAGTGAAGAATATTCAGCACCAGTTTCATCAAGATTGCTGGAGTGTGTTAAGATTTAGAACAGAATGTCAGTGAAATTATTACAGATTAGTAGGATTTATGAGTTTTGTTTTGCCTAATTAAATCTCCCATAAACCCAGCTTTCTGTTTGTAGGGATGGTTTTATAGAAAACGGAGTCATTCCTGCCCTGTCCCAGCTCTTGAATGATCCAGTGGATATCTGTCGGAGAAACATGCACCGGGCGTTTGAAATAATGGCAGAGTTACCGGCGGGTAGGAGTTTTTTTTAAATTCAAAATATTTATTTCAGAAAGATACATAAGGGTGCTCTGGCATCTTAATCTTTCCAGGTCATTTTAAGTATGCATGTCAAATGATTAAATACTTAAGGAGGCCAAAGCAGATAGTTGAATGTACCTTATTCAAAAAAAAAAATTTACAGCTTAAATTTTTTCAGTTTACTTAAAATTCCATTCATGAGAAACAACTTTACTTATTTTCACTGATCTTATTTTCTTTAGTTAGTGTTCTTATTTTTGTAATTTATCATTGAGTTACATCTGAAGACTTTAAAAGAATGTCTTGCTGCTTTTGAGTGAGGGACAATTATACTGCATGATGATGCTGTTCTCACTTTTTAGATTGTTTGCAGGTTTTGTAATAGCAGCGTCAATTCTTACTTTTAAAAGATAAAGGCTCACTCAGTTCACATATGTTGAAACAAGGTTCTGTTGTAATGTGTCAGAAGAGCAATGTATGTTTTTTCTTTTGAGGCTGATCTTGCAAACTCTTACTCACAAGACATTCCATTGACTTAAGTGAGATTGCTCGCATGTGTAAGGCTACTCTCTTGAATAAGAATTTGCAGGATTCCTCCCTTGAATTTGGATTTCAGGAATTGCCATGAATGATATTGCATTAAAGAGGCTCCTTATTCTGTCTCTATCAGGTGATACCTCTCTCTTAATATTAGGGGGCTGATTTTGAATACTATTCCAGCCCCCATACACTACTGTGGCAGCTCATAGGGGCTATATAAGAGCTGCAAGAGGCTTGGGGCAAATTTCTCCAGTGCAAGGGTAGTGCAGATCCTGTGTAAATATCCCTCACCTCACCCTACTCTCAAGCCCTGGTGTAGGGGGCATATCAGTGGCAGAAGGAGCATGCCCATAACATCAAGTGCTCCAGGGGTTCTGGGCGACTATGCCTAGGCTATGGGCTGCTGTTTCAGCCCTCTAGCAGCCTAGAATTCATAGGGTGCAAACATAACATAACTGCATCTTTGCCTCCCATCAGTCTTTTTGGGCTGCATCTCAGGAAGTGGAGTACGTACAGCATTTAGCCCTAGGAGTTCAATCATAAGAATTTGTCTCCGACTTGAAATAATAGTGGGGTAATGCATTATACTTTTAAAATGTTTTCTTTAGTCTAACTACATACATTTTTAGTTTTCTGTCTTTTTTTGCCTTAAGGGTTTGGCCATGATTTTTTATCCTTTCGTCCACAGTGTTTAAAAATACTGATTTGTGTCAGAGTTCAGAAGTACAATAGTATCTACAGGAAATATCCATTTAAAATCCATTATATTAAGACAAGGGAAATCGTACTAAATTTCAAGTGGAAGACTTCCATCATATTAGTGGTGCTTAAAAGGCATTGAGTGAATGTTTAAAAAAAAAATGCTGAGTGAGCGTGCTTGAATTATAGAAAAGAACTTATGTGAATGCAGCTCATTGTGAAGTCTGAAGTGAATAAATCAGTATATAGCAGAGCAATCCAGTGAGGAACAACAAACAAAACAAAAGACAACTTTGATGTGATCACCATTAAGGTATAGTAGATCACATATCGATCAGATAAAAGGATTTTCAAGTAGAACAGTAATTTAACATTTTTCTGCATTATTTTGTTCTATTAATCATCCTGTAGACTTTAAAATCGAATGAGAAGGTGGCTTACAATGTGACTTTTTAGTACTGGTATGTCCTGATCTATCAGGGTACTTATTCATTTAGCTCTGTAGTCAGGATGATAAATAGTGTTTTGTGGCACTTATGAGAGAAGAAAATGTCACAGGAAGAAATTATGCCAATTGGTTCACATCAGAATTATAAGTTTAAAGAGTTGCTATCAATGCTAGCAGGCCTAAAATTAGACATATTACTGTGTATTTATTTTCAAGCATGTGTTTGAGTATCACAGTCCCTTTGCTTTTCCTTGACTGACTGTTCTTCAGAGTTGACAGTGTTGAAATGTTAAAGGCAAGCAGAATTCTTGGTATATCCTTTTCAGAGCAGAATAGTTTAACATACAAATAGTCACGGATAGCAGGGTAAACAGACCTTAACATGAAATAAATTACATTGCACTCACATAAGCCTCTTTACATTGCCAGCGTGATATAAAGGGGCTTTAGTATATATGAAAAAAATAAAATAAAATCACACCTTTAGTGTCTTTTTTTAACCATGCTGCCAGGAATTTCCTGCAGAACATAATGGCAGTGTACCATATATTATAAATCCAATTTATTCTATGGCATGCATGGAGCTACTGTTACTGAATTTATTGCCGACTCACCCATTAGAGATGTCTGAATGTAAACAGTACAGCAGCCCCTAATTTTAGGGAACTATTCATGCATATTTTTGGCAAAGATTTCAGTGGCTACCAGAAGAAATGTCTGACCCCTAACTGCAGTCAAAAACCTTATTGGAGCTGGCGGGTGTGAGTGCCACCTTTCGTTCAGTATAAACGTAAGAAGCACTTAAGCTTCTTTTGGAGTAAGATAGCTGAAACAATAGGAGCCCCCATGGAAAACACAAACAGCATACAATACCAGTCAGAAACTGAGCTATGTGGGTGATTGAAAATGCATGGGGCTGTAGATCAGAAGAAGTGTAGGGAGGCAGAAAGCAGCAAGATAGGCACAGCAAACATGGTCCGGAGAGAAAGCAAAGAAAGCGAGAGCTTTTTGGTAGAGTGATGAGTCGAAAGAGTCTTGGAGTATCGAGCATGGAAACTGTCTCTTGTTTGATTTCTGGTGTGTTCAGGGAAACAGGACCTTGTGTACGTTCTTTGCAGGGCCAGCTCCAGGCACCAGCTTCTCAAGCAGGTGCTTGGGGCGGCTGCTCTGGAGAGGGGCGGCAGGTCCAGGTATTTGGCGGCAATTCGGCGGACAGTCCCTCACTCCGCCTGGGAGTGAAGGACCTCCTGCCGAATTACTGCCGCAGATCGCAATTGCGGCTTTTTTTAGATCGCGATCGCGGCTTTTTTTGTTTGTTTGTTTTGGCTGCTTGGGGCGGCCAAAACCCTGGAGCCGGCCCTGGTTCTTTGTAACTAGAGGTATTTCTTTGATACAGTCCTGTTTAACTAATTTCTCTTGTTAACGGAAACAACTCTCAAGACCACAAATATTGGCTAACAGCATGGGTCAAAAGGGGTAAGACATAGTTCAAGTACATTTTGGCAAAATAAAGTCAAGAGAAGGGACTTCTTACTCTGCTTATTTGTTTAGTATCAGGAAGTTTTTCCATTTGGATTTTGGTTTGTATAGAAAATGTTCTGTAAAGTAATTAATTTTTCAGGACAGGTGAATGCTGCTGTCTGACTTCAGGTAAAACACTTGGTCACTTTTTAGATCCTGATCCTGGAATGAGATCTTTTTGGATGCAAAGATTCACCTACATGGAGCTCACTGCAGGATTTAGGCCTTAGTTTGTCCAATCAGTAGTTAATGGAAATGGGTGCCACTGTTGAAGAACAGCCTTATTTTACCAGCCTTAGATACTGATCCTGAACAGAAATACAAGCCCAGAGTTTTGTGATTTTGCATACCTCAAATTTTGGGAGCCAAACTGGAGAAATCTTAAAGGATCCAGATTCTCTCTAGAGTGAGTGCTGAGCATCTCTTTTGCGACTGTCTTTTATTCAAAAAAAAATAAAAAAATAAAAAGTGAAAAATACAAAAAGGTGGATAACTTGCAGCTTGTATATGTTTCCAAGAACCATATGCTTCATGGGATTCCCAGAAGACTTACGCAGTTTTACAACTCAAAGCTGCAAGACCAGACAGTACAAAACTAGACAATACTACAAATACATAGTTACAGTGGGGGTTACTGTAATCAAATAGGCAAAAAACATATATAAATAGGAAAAACAGGGGACCAAAGAGGGATGGAAAAGGAGGAGGGGTGAGAAGGAATGGAAGTGTGTTCTTTGAGCAGTCTAAATATTTTTAATCCAAATATATCTAGAAATGCAGTCCAAATTTCTTTGAATCCATATAATTGATCTCTACAGAGATAGAGAAAGAAAGAATAGCCTGTTAACTCAGACCAGTCTGAATATCACTGCTCTATTCTGGGCATAAGCCTACATTTTTGTAAAATCATGTACTTGGTGCTCAGCATTTTCTGAAAATCAGGGCCTTTTAAAGTGTCTCAAGCAGCACCCCAAAAAACTGAAGCACCCAAAAAATCACTAGTCACTTTTGAAAATCCATCTACGGCATGTTCTCTGTGTATATTTTACTGTCAAACATTTGCACAACCTCTTGTTATCATTTAGCTATCAAACTGACACATATGGCACATGCCAAGTAAAGTTATTTCATTAGTAAACACTAGGGTTACCAACATTGCATTTCAAAAATAAGGGCCGGTTTTCTGTTGACTGGTGCTTCCTCAGGTTGTAGATTTAGTTTATAATTCAAAGTTGTTAGTGAATTACCTGTATGATTTAGCTGTATCAGTCATGCTACTTTTTTTTTCAGTGTTTAATCAGATGTGCATGACAAAAATACAGTTGAGGAAATCTCAAGCTGTAGTTTTCATCTTATTCTTCAAGTTTTACAAAGACAAATAATACAACAGTAGCATCTACTTCCAAAATAATTGTTTTTCCAGGGGCACTACCAATTCAAAACAAAACTATTTTTTCTTTCACATGAATCTGTAGAGAGACTTTGAGGGTTACACAAAAAGCAGACAGCTTTGGATTTCATTAGAACATCTGAATCTATCTAGCAATTAAATGTGGTAGTAAGCAAAATTGACTCTTGGTGGTGCCAAAGCCTAAAACACTACTACTCAAAAATTCCACATAAAACAAAATGTGCTATTAGTGTGTGTCATAGTGATATCTGAACCATTATTGCTAGTGGCTAAGAAGCAGATTACAAAAATCAAATATTCAATACATTTTTGACTAGTTACAGTGAAAAATACTGGAGTTCTCAAAAGAGCAGGAGGGGACGATTGGCAGGTATG